GTTATGGTGTTTCAGGAAGGGAAAAGAGGCCATTGTGACTGAAAATCCAGGAGGAGAAGGAATAAAAAGGTATAACTATGTACGTTTCCTTCAGGCATTATAGGCCATGATTAGAAATTTAGATGTGTTTCCATGTGTGATGGAAAATCATGAGATAGAGTTAACTAAAACTTTTAACTGATTAGTCTGGGTGCTGTGGGAGGAAATGATTTATAAGGACAAAGGAGATGTTCAAGAGCAGTGAGGAGACTATTGGAGGAAACCAGGAGAGAAACGATGGCATTTGGACTGCGGCCATGAGCAATGGAATGGAGAATAGAGATGACATCTATTTTAGGGGCAGAAATGACCAGACTTGTGTGATGTGTTGGATGTAGGGAGTGTGAGAGAAAGAAGGGATTCAAGGATCATTTCTAGGGTTTTTGGTGTATGCAGTGGGATGTGAAGACTGAGAGACAAGCAAATGTTGGGGAAGAGGGCACAGGATCAAGAATGGGTTTGGACACGTGAAGTTGGGGAAAACTGTGGGACATGCCAATGATGATACCAGTTGGCAGTTGCACTTATGAGACTGAAACTCAGAGAGGTAGCTAACCTGGAAATACAAAGCTAGAAGGAACTGACAACCACAGGAAAGAATGAGATAACGTAGGAAGAGACTGATAGGAGGAAGACCTCCAAGCCCGGAACCAAGCGTGAAAAACACCAACTTTGAAAGTTTAAATGTAGGAGGAAAACTAACACCAGTCACAGAAAAAGAACCAGGAGAGGAGATAACCTGCAGAATCTGCTTGAGTTACTGGAAAGAACATGTTTTGGCATTTAAGCTTCTGTCTCTGAGGAACAGAGAGACACGTACTTACGGAAGTCCAAGCTTTCTCCCAATGTGATCCCTCCACAGTCCTCCATAGCCCAAGGCCTGACTCCAGGTTAAATTGAGAGATGCACTTTTAGATATTTAGTGTCGGAAAGAGAATTTGCAGGGCAAAGAGGTAGGGGACCACAATCTGAAAACTGTCAAAAAAAGATCAAAAGAAATGAGTATTTTCCATCATCTCTTTGTGCCCTAGTTTTCTAGTAAAAATCTTTCAGGAAAATATGATTTCTAAGTCTTTTCTTATTCTCAATTCAAGAAGAAAAAAGTGTGAGGGAGGAAGGATGGGAGTATAGTATGCAGAAGGTCAGCTAAATGATCATTTCTTGACCAGATGAGATATATTTTTAAGCATAATTCATAATCAAATCAAGAAGATCGTCTTTTCCACTGTTGTTAATTTGTTAAATATTATTACTACAAACATTGTACTGAGGATTCTTTTCTGGGACATATGGGATTCTTAAATAAAATTTCAGAAAAACTAATAGCCACCGAGAATCATTTGATAGTGAAGGGGGAAGATGTCTATCTTAGCATCACACACTGAACTCAACGTAATCAGGTATGCTGACGAGTCCACAAGTAGCCAAGTATTCCCTGTCCTTCCATGACCTCTTTTCCCTCTATTTTTCTTGTACCTTTCTGGAGCTGATTAACAATGAGAAACTGGAGATTTCTTCAGGCCTGGGAATGGAGCCAGAAGTTTCCTATCCAAGACTGCCTTTGAGATAGTCTGGGATCTGTGAGCAAAGAGCAAGCAAGTGGAGGATCAATGCTCTGGAGCTTACTGGGCATTGTCTAAGTGCCACTGCTCTTGGTTTGCTTATATGCTGGATTGGATGTGGAACTCCAGCAGAGTAGTCAGATATAAAGGAGTCAGGGACAGATTAAAGAGAAATCCTCATTGGTGTTTTGTTTGGGGGTATTTTGTTGTTGTTTGTTTTTTACAGAACTTTTGTTTCAGGTAGTCCTCGGGGTGGCCCCTAGTAATCCCCACCTGGTATATTTCCCTCTTACACTGCATCAAAATCTCTCTGTGCGACCATTAGAATGTTGGTGTGTGGCTTCCAAAGTTAGGTCGTAAAAGGAAATGGGTGTCTCCCTGGCTCTCTCTTTTGGATTGTCACTCTGATGGAAGCTAGCTGCCATGATGTGAAGGGTCCCAAGCAGCTCCACGGAGAGGTCTACGGGGAGAGGGGCCATCTGGGGAGCGGGTGCCCCTGCCCCTTCAGGTGATGGCACTCATGGCCAAATCTTGATGCAACCTCATGGAGAGACCCTGAGTCAGAAGCACCCCCACCCCTCAACCCCAGTAAGCTGCTCCCAGATCCCTGACTCTCAGAAAACACATGAGATGACAAAGGTTGGGCTGAGGTGTTAAACTTGGGGAGACAACTTGTAAGCACCAATAGGCAGCTGATGCAAGCCTTTTGTGCTCAAAGCTGGAAACAGGACTCGGCAGGGACTTGTTCCTGAAGAAGCACATGGCAAACGAAGAAAGTGTGAGGTGACAATCTCTGGAGTTAGATAGACACTTAGAGGTAAATCAACTGTAGCTGCTAAGAAAAGTTTTGTCTAAGCAAGCAGAATTTCAGAAATGGAGAACATTCAATAGGTAAGAGGGGGCAGCCCATGCAGCAGGCATCTCCAGGGAGGACTGTCAGGGAATTTTGAGGCCAGGAGAGCCCTGACAGGCAGACGGGGTGACAACCAGAAGTCTTCCAGGAGGCAGTGTGCTCACGTCCAGGAAGGCTGCCCCCAGTCAGAAGCTGGGCTTTAGGGAGAGGATGCCACTTCCTGAGAGACAACGGATGCCAAGAAAGAGGCACTGAGGACGGGATGGTCAAGAAGAGGCTCAAATGCAGGGAAAGTACAAGGATTTAGGGATAAAACAGGTCTACAAAGTAGGGTCAAAATTCAGGACTAAACCCAGCTGTTAGAAAAGACCCATGAGGTCAGGTCTCAGTTAGTGGAGATGCTGACTTGCTGCTGAATCCCTCAGCAGTTAACTAAAGTTCCATGAAAGGGCTGAATCCACCTGCCTAAGGTCAGTAGCCAGCACAGAGCCTCAGACGGTACTAGATCTGTAGGTGGGAACCCAGGTATGGGAGGGAGAAAGGATTGCAAGGGCAGAACTTTTGGCAGACTCTATGAGCTTAGATTGTTTCTTCAATTCATACATATAATTTACAACAGCTGCGACTGCTTTCCTTATTTTACCCTTAAGAGTAATCTCAAATTTCTTAAGAGTAATCTCAAATTTCTTGTTTTACCCCCAAATAAAATTGTTTCCACTTCAATATTTGCTGGAAAATGTAGTTTAGCTTTTTTTCCCTTTTCTTTTCTTCTATTCTCTTTTTTCTTTTCTTTTCTTTCTTTCTTTTGCTCTTTCTTCTCTTCTTTTTTGGGGGGGGGATGATTCATTATCCATGGAAACGGCAGAGTGATAATAATCTTTACACTGGTAGAAGCATTTTATAATTTTCAGAGTGCTTAGACCTGATTTATTCCACCCATCCACTCCAGAGGGAGGCAGAGTGATTATGATTAACCCCCGACTGCATATGAGGAAAGCGTCACTGAGATGTGTTAGAGAACGTGCCTGAATTTGCTTGGATGTTACATGGGAAAGCGAGGACAAAAATACAAGTTTTCTGATTTCCAAACTAGTGTTTAAGTGTTTTAAGACCCTTAAAAAAAAAACTGAACAAATCAACCATCAAAATAAATAAATGTTTTAAGACCTTTTAACATCTATTCAAAACATAAATCAATCATTTAAAGTGTTTGCTTAGTATTGGGGACAGAATTTATTCTGTTTTCCATAATTATTTACTCTAATAATCTTATCCAGAAGCCAAAGGGCCAGCTAATGATCCTTCAGATATTGACCTGCCTGATCCTGGCCCCTGTGGGTTCTGGACTTTGATTCCTAGAGGAAGTGGTCCAGAATCATGAAATACAAATACTAGATCCTGGCTCCCTAGTTTTACCCAAAGGCTGTATGTCACACTCTTCTTGTGGCAATGATATTAAAAAATAAGAGAAAATCAAGTAGGAAGTATGGCCTCAAACTTAGCAGGTACATTGCATATTGAAGGTTAAATACCTTCTCCCCTCTCTCTCCATCAGGCCATTCGTCTCTGTCATATATATGATGTAATATATATTCATATGTACATTTAGATAGGTTTTTGTGTATTTATCAAAATGTTACTTCTCCTTCTTATACCCTTTTGATGAATTTGAGATAAATTACTATGAGACTTTGAAACTACTTGCCTCAACCAGATATTTGTATCCTATCTCCATGTGGAAAATGGAAAGAGATAAGGAGAATCATTGAAATAATAAATAACTACTATATATAAAATAGATTAAAAAATTTCTTCTGTATAGCACAGGGAACTGTATTCAATATCTTGTAGTAACCTGTAGTGAAAAAGGATATGAAAACAATTATATGCTTGACTGAAACATTACACTGTACACCAGAAATTAACACATTGTAACAGACTATACCTCAATTAAAAAAAAATAAACATCCTCAAGGAATATGCATCTAACCAATGTAAAATGTGTAGACTTACGCCAATTGCAATATTAGGTAATGGGCATGATACTGTGTGGAATATTACAGATAATTCCTGGCGAGTATCTAGTTACGGGCTGATACATTCAGTACTTTTCCCAAAGGAAACTGAGAGGAGACTCAGTAACTTTTACAGAGCAAGCTTGGAAGTCATACTTGTCTCAGTTTTCATAGCATCATTAATTATATATTTAGCAACCTGTGTAATAAAGTCATACTGCAGTTTTTGGAGAAGCTGGAAATTGCTTTTCAGACTTCTATTTTAAAAACTATTTTTGTAGTGGTAAAATATACATAATATAAAAATTCATCATTTTAACCAGTCTTAAGGGTGCTGTTCAGTGGCATTAAGTCCATTCACATGGTTGTGCAGTCATCACCTCCATCTCCAGAACTTTTCATCATCCTGTACTGAAACTCTGTACCAACTAAACGCTAACTCCCATTCTTTCCTCCCCCGGCCTCTAGAAACCACTATTCTGCTTTTGTCTCTGTGAATTTGACTGCTCTGAGGATCTCATATAAGCAGAATCACATAATTATTTGTCTTTTTGTGTCTGATCTTATCTTACTCAGCATATCTTCAAGATCCATCCTTGTTGTGGCTTATATCAGGATTTCATTTCTTTTTAAGGCTGAATAATATACTATTGCATGTATATTCCCACTGTGTTTGTCCACTTATCCTTAGATGGACATTTCACTTTTTGGCTATTGTGAATAATACTCCTGAGAACATCCTTATGCAAATATCTGTTTCAGTCCCTGATTTCAGTTCTTTGGTGTTTATACCCAGAAGTGGAATTGCTGGATCAAATGGTAATTCTACGGTTATTATTATTATTATTTTTGAAGAACCACCATACTGTTTTCCCCACAGTGTCTGCACCATTTTATGTTCCCACCAGCAATGCGCAGGAGTTTCAATTTCTCCGCATCCATGCCAGTACGTGTTACGGGCTTAGCACTCTTACAAAAGAGGCCCCAGAGAATGCTCCCACCGCTTCTACCACAGCAGGACATAGCGAGAAGCCAGCTGTCTAAAAACCAGAGTCGCCGCCAGCCAACTGTGCCAGTGCCTTGGTCATGGACTTCTCAGCCTCTGGAACTTTGAGAAATAAATTTCTGTTGTTTAGAAACCATCTTTTCTAGGGTTTTCTGTATCAGCAGCCCAGACTGACTAAGTCGCAGGGCTTCATCAGTGCCCGCCCGGTCCCCCACTGCGGGCCTCTTCTCCACACAGACCCAGGGCACTTGCTGGGCCCAGCATCGCCCCGGTGGGGAGAGACGGGCGGCCTGGCACACAAGCCCCACCCTCAGGAGAGTTTGCTCCTGAGACCCAGGGAGACAGAGGCCCCCCTTTCCCTCAATTCCCTCGGCACCCTGTGCACTTCAAACGCAACTTGTCAATTACAGTCTTTGGCCGAAATTGTCTTTGCCCTAATAGGGTTTGAGCACACTGAGTGCAAAAATCATTTCTTTTTCACTTTTGTGCCTCTTGAATTGAGCATAGCGCCTGGTCTCTGATAGGATTTCAGTAAACACTTGATACATTTCAAATATACACACACACACACACACACATACACATATATAGTACATATATACACACACATATATATATACATACATATATACCATAGCACATTTGTTTGTACTAAGTATACAACACAAAACTCTGGAGGAAGGCAACGATTTTTACTGGTCAGCTAAGCTATCTCAGCGACTCTTTGTTCCCAGTAATAACTTCCATCTTGTGTTTTACTTCTGATGACTAGAACCTCATTTCAATTTCTGTGTGTGTAAGACCCCTTTTTTCTGTTTTGGTTTTTGGTAAAAATCCACTGTCCTCCTCTGACCAGTCCTGAGCCCCCGTCTCCTTCCTGTCACTGCTCCATGAGGCTCAGTGTCCAGGGCCTGGGCTCTGCTGTCAGTGGTGAGTAGACTGCCCAGTGCTGCCTTCCTGCCAGAGCTGCCACATCCAGCTCCGGGTTGTTTCTCCCCACTCCTCTGACTCCCTAGGACATCCTATAGCTTATGCTGAGCTTTCCAGTTAGTTTCTGTAGTCGTGGACCTGTAGCCTGCATGCCACACGCCCCTGCCGGAATGGTTCTCATCTCAGGCCGGGGACTGGCCTTCTACTGCCCATAGAGACATATCCTGAGCACTAGAAGGCAGTATGCTCTGTAATGGACATCCAGCCAACTCAGTGGCTCTTAAAAATTTGGAGGGTCATGAATCCATTTTGAGCAGCTGATGAGAAGTGCAAGCCCTCACTGCAGGAAAACAGTGTGCAAACTTACAGAAGATTTTGCATCTAATTTCAAGAGGTAAATAGACTTTCGAACTGAAGATCTAGTGACCCAGAATATCTGGGGTGGGTCAGGAGAGGTAGGACAACCAGTAAAGCCATCACTATGATGGACACCAATGGTCATTTCAGTTGTCCTTCCTACCAGACAGGAAAGGGGTGGGAGACTTCAGGTTGTGATGGAGGACTGCTAGCTCTGGGTGGCAGTTATTCTGGAGGACAAGACTCCTTTTATGTGTGATTTTAAAAAGTATGTATAAAAGTTATTTTCAAAAATCATAGCTTCTAAAGTAGTTTCTTGAATATCTGGCAATGTTGTGATTACTGAACAAGAAAAAGGAGTATGTTCCATCTGTCAGCCAGGGACGATTGCCACCCTCTGCTGAATGACTTCAGTGTTGAAGAGAAGCGTGGGCAGAGTGAGAAACCCACAATTGAGACTTTTAAACATGTATCAATAATCACGAGTTAACGGGGAATGAAAAGGAGGGAATTTAACGATTTCCAACAGAGACTGCTTCAGATTTTTTTCCCCATGTCAGTTTTGCAAGTGATTTGGAAGACAGTGATAGGAAGAAAGGCAAAAATCAAAAAGAATGTTTGGAGTTCACTCTGTTAAAAGGAAAAAAAGAAGAATCTTGTAGAGGTTTGAATTGAAGTTTTCCAAATCATTCTTTTTCACACAGAGGTTCATTTGGATATATAATTCAGAGGTGAATTTAGTAAAAGCTTTTCAATATTGTATGCATTGGTAATGAGGACTAAGCTCACAGAAGATACATAATCTGCATATGTCAACATTATGTATTTAGATTTTTCTCATTTTGCAAACTGTTGCCTTTATAGTCATGTGATATTAGTCAGACTCCAGTGATAGATGACCTATTTCTGGGAAGCAAAGTAAATATCACAGGCTACCAGGATGACAATGTTTATTAAAGTGTTAATTTCCTAAATAGTTTTTAGATAATGGAGAAGAATCTGATTCATCTGTGACAAAGTTTAATCTTGAAGCGAACAATTTTGTTTTGGTAATATAAAATGGGAATTAATATAAAACTTATATTTTCTGTGATAACTAGGTAAGAAATATTTCTTGAATAGATTTTTAGTAATTATTCCCATTTTATTCAAAGTGGTCTTTAAGTAATTTTTTTTCAATTTTTTATATCCATCATAAGAATCTAGAGCTCAACTGCATTTATGCTTTCCTTTCTTTAAGTAATGTGAAAATAAATGAAGAAATGCTCTTTTTTTTTGTACATTTCTGCCTTCTTTGCCTAAGAAATCTTATCCTCCAGTTTTGAGGAGAAAATAATCCTCTTCTCCTTTCCTCAAAAGATTCTGTTTTTCCTGTGTCAGTATAAACAGGAGAAGCTCTTGAAAAAAGCAGTTAAAAATGTAGCAGACTGTCCTAGTATTCACCAACATCTGATGCCCTTACACACGTAGGTCTGTAGGAGGATTACATGCCCCGCTCCCTTGCATCTGAGTGGGGTCATGTGATTGGTTCCCGCCAAGGGACTGCGCACCAGTTCTGTAGCTAAACATTTAATTTCCAGTGGCAACACTCCAGAGGATTCTTCTGCTACCGTAGTAACAACAAAATCATGTGTAAGGATGAACCTCCCTTTGTTTGCATCCGCTTTCGGTTTGGTCATTGGCATAAGCTTTGTTGTTTTAAGCACTGAAATTTTGGGACTGTGTATTAGCACAATATAACCTAAGCTCTTCTAACTAATCCAGACAGAACAGTAAGTAATAATAGTAATAAAGGAGCTAACAGTAATTCTAATGCCAGCTGATAGGGACTTAATGTACACTATGTGTCAGAGGCTTGAAACTACCCTAGAGTATAATTAATACGACTCCTACTGTATAGATGAGGCAACTGAGACACTGAGAAATTAAATAACAAGGCTACCCAATTAAGACATCTTAGAGTGAGGATCTGAATTTAAATAGATTTGCTTCCCAGTTTAACTATTAACCAAAGTAACCTTCTAATGACTCTCCAACTGTACCTTCTACGATTTCATCAATGTACCCCAGGGAGAATAGTGTTCTGGGCTCTAGTTTTCTAGGAGTTCTATATTTTAGTCAATAATTACAAATGAGAAATATTTAACTTCAAGCCAGTTTTTTACTCCCCTAATAAAACTATATGTAAAGCTCTCAAAGCTGAACAAACATTTAGGGAATACCTGTTATGAATTAGGTATTCTACTAGGTGCACTTTACATGTTTTTTCTATTATTCCTCCTTGATATGTTTTCAGTTTATAATATTGTTACCCCCTCTTTATAGAATAAAAATTAAGGGCCAGGGAATATATTTAATACCCTCAAGATCATCCATTTTGTAGACGGCAGAGAAGGAGCTCAAATTCTGTTCTGACTTCAAACTCTATGCTTTTAACTAATTAATTAATTAATCTTTATTGAAGTACAGTCAATTGCATTGTGTCAATTTCTGGTGTACAGCACAATGTCCCAGTCATGCATATACATGCATATATTTGTTTTCATATGTTTTTTCAGTAAAAGTTATCACAAGATATTGAACATGGTTCCCTGTGTGATACAGAGGAAACTTTTTTTAAAATCTATTTTTATATATAGTGGCCAACAGTTGTAAATCTCAAACTCCTAAATTTATCCCTTCCCACCCCCTTCCCTCAGTAACCATAAGATTGTTTATTATGTCTGTGAGTCTGTGTCTGTCTTGTAGATGAGTTCATAGTGTCCTTTTTTTTTTAGATTCCACTTATGAGTGATACCATACAGTATTTTTCTTTCTCTTTCTGGCTTAGAATGACAACTCTAGGTCCATTCATGTTGCTGCAAATGGCATTATTTTATTCTTTTTTATGGCTGAGTAGTATCCCATTGTATAAATATACCACAACTTCTTTATCCAGGCATTTGTCGATGGACATTTAGTTTCCTTCCATGTCTTGGCTATTGTATATAGTGCTGCTATGAACACTGGGGTATAGGTATTTTTCTGAATTAGAGTTCCCTGGAGATATATACCCAGAAGTGGGATTGCTGGATCATCTATTTTTAGCCTTTTTAGGAGTGTCCATACTGTTTTCCATAATGGCTGCACCAAACTACATTCCCACCAGCAGTGTAGGAAGATTCTTTTTTCTCCACAGCCTCTCCAGCATTTATCATTCATGGATTTTGAATGATGGCCATTCTGGCTGGTGTGATGT